ATTAGGGAAAAAAGTTAATCCCTTGATTCGGCCAGACCTATTATTATATTATTGACTTATTGAAAAAGACTTGAGTGCCCTTCTTTAAGTAAGAGGCACTCRAACTAACATAAMMRTACACATCARCAYWCTCAACAAGTACAAAGACTGAAATACCCCTTCACTAACACCACTAACAGTATCTCGGGATGTCACTTTTTCCGAGTTGACTCCCTTCTTTAGTATTTTTCCTGAGGGGGAGAAATCTGATGAGCCCTTTGCTGTGTCTCCAGCTGTTCCTCTTCCCATCCCTTGTGAGTTCGATCATGGGGTGTCCACCTCTTCCACTGGACCTACCTCTGATATCCCAGCTCCTCCTCCTTCTGCTCCTGCTCTCCAAAGGTGGTACCAAAAGGCAGAGATTCAGACGTGTGCAGGTTGTTTCCACTCCTTCAGAAGAGCGTCTTGCCACTTCCATCATTCCTGAGGAAACATGTCAGCCCTCTACTGACCCATCTCTGACTGTCCTAGACCTTGACCTTCCTATTGCTCTTCGCAAGGGCAAGTGGAAGTGTACTACCTGTTGTATCTCCAAACACTTATCTTACAGCTTTCTCTCCCCTTCCTACTACTCCTTTCTTGCCTCTGTGTCTTCCCATGTTATACCCAGGTCTGTACCGGAAGCATTATCTCAAGCTGAATGGAGGGATGCTATGATGACTGAACTTGATGCATTGCATAAGAACCATACCTGGGATATTGTGGACTTGCCAGAAGGGAATGAACTAGTGGGTTGTAAATGGGTGTTTACCATTAAGTATCACTCCGATGGCTCTATTGAGAGATTTAAGGCTCGGTTGGTTGCTAAGGGTTACACCCAAATGTATGGCATTGACTATCTTGAGACATTTGCTCCAGTTGCTAAAATGACTTTAGTCAGGGTTTTACTTTCTCTAGCAGCTACTTTTGACTACACCAGTTTGGTGTTAAAAATGCCTTCCTGAATGGAGACCTACATGAAGAGGTCTATATGTCTCTACCTCCAGGAGTGTATGGGAAAGAAATGAAAGGCAAATTGTGTAAACTACACAGATCTATTTATGGTTTCAAACAATCTCCTCGGGCTTGGTTTGAGAGATTTCGGGCTGCTCTTGTCTCATTCAAACACAATCTGATCATACACTATTCTTGAAGAAAAATGACTCTCTGGTGACCTTCTTGATTGTTTATGTTGATGACATTGTGGTCACCGGTAATGACATTGAAGAGGCCAGCAAACTAAAAGGATTTCTCAACTCTGAATTTGAAATCAAAGACTTGGGAGATCTTCGGTATTTCTTGGGCATTGAAGTT